TATATATAATCTATGTATATTAGCTAGGAAAAGTAACAGTGAATTTGACCGGCTATTTGTGTAAGAATTTAAAAACCAACACTATATGAATTCAGAAAATCGGTGACAGCTCTAACAATGAGCTAAAAAAATAGTACTTATAGTGTTTCGGGGTAACAATTAGTGTATATAAAGGTACATATATATACTCAGACCTCTGTACAAAAGTCATTTATAATAAAAGTTAGTTTTTTATGAAACCAATTTTTATGTTATGTTATAATTATATGTTTTCTATAACAGTATTTCGCTATAACAGCCAAAAAAATTCGAAACTAGACTGTTATAGAGATGTTTGACTATATTTTAGAAATATTAAACGTGTGGAAAGCTAAAATGAGACATGTACCTCGCTGAGAAACGGCAATCTTTAAGGCCTTGGATCGCGATTTCTGATCATTTCCATTCGTGCATAACCTAATAACAATCTTTTGCTGCTCAATTTTTAAGAGCATACGTTAGTAAATGAAATAATCCAAAGTTAGCTTAACAATGAGCAGAATGAAAGAAGTATTGCCACTCTGCCAAGTACTTTTGTTCAGTTAACCCTTACTAATTCGAATGATTAAAAGAAATATAGGCATAAATACCTTCATTCTCTGTGTTTAGAAGGGAAAATTGCTTTAAGAATAAATATGAAATCGTAAAGAGAGGTTGTAATTTTTGAAATTCTTGGGAAATTGTACTGAGGAGAATATTGTATTTTCTGGGTATTTATAGTTGGGACTCGCTCCTATCTAGCAAGTCGTAAATAACACGCTATGAAGAAGAGGACAATGAAGTGATTAACATTATTAATCGTTATGACTTATGAAGTAGGGGAGGACCTAGTATACATGTTATATGTTTGTATGCGGTCGAAATCGAGTACAACTTGATAGATTGGTCTTGGAACGTGGCAGTCAAAGACTGAGGATCGACCTCGAGTCCCATCGAGCTAGAACCCGAGGTCGGAACGCCTGCCTTCGAGGAGCAGTGAGTCCGATGTCGACCTTAGCCTCGAACGAGCTCGGAGAAACATTATCGAGTTAAGTAACAGAAGACCGAAATATTCGCGACCGGTCAGATATTGCGGCGGGAATCTCGGCACGTATTAGTAAGAAATCGAAAATCAGCGAATCAAGAGATCTTTTACCTTTTATAGAATTGTACCTAAAGTAGAATTTCTCTACTATATAAAGGGGGTCTGATTGTTCAGGAAAAAATATTGTAACACGCATCCCAAAGCAATATATTGTTATTCTCTTTAAAGTTCTTATTATTCTCTTGTTATTCTGTTGTGATATCGATAAAAGAGCTTTTGGCTCGAGGGTGGCTAATCTTCTAAGGCTAAGACCGTTCAACTCTTGTTGTTTGCATTTACTTTTCCATTACTTATTTCAATCGCAAACTGATTTATCGTTTTGTATAAAGTTAGATCACATATCCTTAAAATCACTTACAAATTCAATTGTTACTCGATTTTGAGGGTAAACAATGTTCACGTAAACTTAATAGTTTTTTCTTAGACTGTACATATGTATTACAAAGTCAATTAAATATCTATAAATATTTTAAACGAAAAAGGGCCAAAAATACCCCTAAGGTATTGAAAATGGCTCAATTTTTCCCTTCTTCCACCTATTGGGTCATAAATGCACTTAACGTTAGTTTTTGGGCTCAAACTTACCCCTATATCTAACAGAAGGGCCAACAATACCCCTAACGTATTGAAAAGGGCTCAGAAATACCCTTCGTTAATCTTTTGATCCGCAAATGCCTCTAACGTTTGTTTTTGGGCTCAAACTTACCCCTATATATAACATAACTAACCTTGTCAATTTTTTGACTTTAACTTCGCCATGTGGCATTTTCTTAATCTGCCACGTGTATTATTTGTATTAAATAAACCCACTTGTATCTTTTAAAATATCCAATGACCCTGACCCACTCCTATATATTTGGACGGTCGGCTAAAAATAATTATATTTTCTAGTTAAATATATAAAAAATGTACATTGATTATATATAAAAATATGTATATTATACATTAATATTTTAATATATATTTTACATGATATTATTTTTAGGAGAAATTATACTGTGTAGTTTTTCCTATTAATTATGATCCATAACTCAAATTTATTAAGAAAATCTGACAATGGAACGATAATTTTTGCTAATATTTTAGCTCTATCATTATATATTAAAACACTTTTAGTTTCCATTGAAAAGATCATGTGAAGTCCATTAATGTGCTAACCAGTTGGATATGTATATAATTAAAGGTTTTAAATAATTTCCTTTCTATATATTTCTTTGCTTCTCCTTTAGAATCATATAAATAGAACATTATCATTTTAATGTTTGCAAATTAAAATTTATATTTGTTAAACTTGTTAAGATTTTCAAAATTTGAAGGGAAAACTACACCGTATAATTTTTCCTAAAAATAATATCATGTAAAATATATATTAAAATATTAATGTATAATATACATATTTTTATATATAATCAATGTATATTTTTTATATATTTAACTAGCGAATGTAATTTTTTTAGCCGAACGTCCAAATATATAGGAGTGGGTCAGGATTGTTGGATATTTTAAACGGAAAAGGGTCTGATCTGTCCCTCTACTATCATCAATAGTTTAAATAAGCCCTCTGTTATACTATTAGAGTAACCAAGCCCCTGCCATTATACTATTAAACACAAATACCCTTATTTTAACAGATGGGCTACGTGGCAACACCAAAATTATCCGGTTAGATTTAGTATAGATCTGACCCAACCCATTACCCAACCCGACCCTAAAATACTAGACCTTTCACCTTTATTAATGTGTGAACCATAATTTGTTCACTCATATCTGCAGATGTCCCTCCCTCTCTTCCACAACTCAAATGCTATAACTTTTCATTCAAATTTCTTTGTTCTTCTTCGACCAACACATCTGAGTCTTGGTTCGATGTCTAGTTCTAGTGTTACATCGAGAAGGAGGTGCTACTGTGAGGAGATTGCGAAAAACTTCACTCTGACGACTACAAACAACCCCGGAAGGAGATTCTACAAGTGTGCTAAACCTGAAGTAAGTGTGAATTTCGTTGGTGATTCATTACTCGTCGATGCATTTAAAGTTTTATTTTTTCTGCTCTTTAACATAGTTATTGATTGTATTTGTAAGGGCGAGTCATGTAGATATTGGGAATGGCAAGACGAAGCCCTCTCGGACAAAGCGTTGATAGTAATCAACGATTTCAAGTCTAAATTAGATGCTGCAAATGTCAAAATCAGGACGCTGAATAAGTTGTTGGATGCGTGCAAGTTTGAAAGGGACAAATTGATGGAAAAGGTTGATGTTTTGGAGGCTATGAATGATGTTGAAGTGAATAAAGCAAGGGAGATGGAAGTGAAAGTGATGCACATGAAGATGTTCATTATGGTTGCATTTGCACTGTTAGTCGGATTTGTTGTGGCATTGTTGATGAAATGAATTTTGCATTTTATGTAGTGCAGTAGGGCTTTGATAAAGTTAACTGTTATAAAATCCTGATTTTCATGAATGTTTTGTGTTGGTCAGCTTGGTTGTAATCCATATTTTCATGAATGCATTTTGTATAGTGCACTATGGCATTTTACGTAGTACAGTATACCTTTCATTTTCGGATTTATTGTGTTGGTCATCTTTGTTGTAATCACTAAATATAGTTCTTCATATGGCATGTTAATGCCCAGTTTAACAGAATAATATAGATTTTAACAGAAAAAACTGGGTAGTTATGGCTCTAATACAGTAAAAAACTGGGCAGTTATGGCTCTAATGCAGTAAAAAAAACTAGGCAGTTATGGCTCTAATGCAGAGTAAAACTGGGCATTTCACTAACAGTAAAAATCTGGGCATCCACTTTAATGCAGTTAATTCAGTCTATGATGCAGTAAAATCTGGATAGTTATCACCAATGTAGTAATTACATATCAGAAGTACTGTCAATGCAGTAATTACATATCACCAAAAATAGTAAAGTTAGTAGGTGAAACTGATGATTGGATGTCAGACTATAATCCCAAAAACTAACACAACTTAAATCATACTATGACATCCAATTCAGTTACCAATATCAATATTAACAGAACATTAAACAAGAGACTGTCATTAAGTTTGCAGTAATTACATCCCAAAATAAACACAAAACTACATAGAATAACTTGATCATTTTTCTTTTCTTATCTTCAGCTTCCCAATCTTCTATTGCCTTTGTTTTTCTAACTGATTTGAGTTGTAGCTGCTTTACCCTTCCACATCAGGCCTGCTGGTGAATATGAAAGATCTGTGGGCTCACTAACACTAGTGTGATCACCAGTAAAGTTGATTGATCTTGTCCCAGCTGGTAAGTTTACCTGCTGCCTCGGTTGAAGTCTTGTCTTGACTTCTGATATCACCATTGGCCTAACCACAACATTTTCATCATGTTCTATCTATGAGAAATTTGAAACCATACTTGATTGACCAACTCTAGATGTAGGCATGAAGCTAAATCCATTTTTCTGACTTGATTGAGTCATTGTGGTGCTGAACAGTGTATTTCATCTTCTGTTTCAGAATCTAACAAAGTTCTTGTCCTTTTCAAAGGTTGTTTTCCCTTGCTTAGTTGCTTTCCCTTTGGTTGCTATTAAAAAACAAAGTTAGAAAACATAAATAGGTACAAGTTCAGCATGATGTGCTTGTGGTAGAACAGTTTTAATTGCCTCAATTAATCCCTATAACAAATTCGGAAAACATGCATAAAGAAAAAATTCAAAAACAAAAACTAGACAGAAGTAGATGACAACAGAAAGAAAAAAAATTCAGAAACATTACCTTTTGCATTTTTGACATGAAGGTGATTCCTTCTCCTTCCTTAAGGTCTAGAGATCCCTGAAGCAATTGTAGGAACCAGTTCCAAGAATGCTTTGTCTCCTTATCAACAACTGCCCATGCCAAAAGATAAAAATGGTTTTGTGCATCCTGTCCAACAGCAACTAGCAATTTGACCATTGGCTTTCCCTTTTAAAAATGTGCCATCTACACCAATAAATGGTCTTAACCCTAACTTGAAACTCATCTTCATAGCTTTGAAACAAACATACATCCTCAAGAATCTTCTTTTCCCATTTTCAAGTGCATTGTTTGAAATGTTAATCATTACATCACTGCCTGGATTACTCTCCCTCAATTCAATGGTATAAGCATCAAGTTTGTTGTACTCATCTGTAAAACTCCCATCTAAGGTCTCCAATATTATTCTTTTTGTCCTCTTGCACTTCCCATGACTCACATTTAACTCAAAAATCCTTTTCAAATCAAGTACCATCTCCCTTACCTTATACTTAAGATTATCCTGTAACTTTCTCTTAAAGTAATGTGCAATGGTATTGAAATCAACATTACTATTATCATATGCAGTGCCACAAATATGTTCTGACTCTAATGTCTTTATAGTAACCCCTGCATTACCATCTTTGGATATTAAACAAACGAAGGGACAGCCCACAATGCATCTATACCTAACCCTCCTTGGGTCACTCTTCCCCAATTTTAAGACTTTCTTGTTGGCTAGAGCATACAACTTCATAAACTTCCTAGATTCTGGTATGTCCTTAAAGACCATGCCTTTATATATCTCCTTGTAATCATTCCGATTCTCAGTTATGTCTCTTTTTTTGTGTTTTGAGTCAATGTAATTCTTCAGAATCATATCCTTCAGAATCAAATCCCTCAAAATCAGAACTAGAGTCAGATCCTAATTCACTTAAGCTATAGTCAGTACCAGCCTCATCTAAACAAGAATATGATTCACCATAATCAACAATACTGGGAATACACTCAATAGGGGGTCACATTCATCCACATCATATAGGTTCACTACATTATATTCATTAGAAAGAGAGGATATCAACTGTCTAATCCCCACATCCCCTTGAACCTCATACAATTTACTAGAAGGTCTAACAACTATAAGTTATTGAACCCCTACAAACCCTAGCTCAACTATGAATTCAGATTCTATATCTATATAAGAAAGCAAGTCTTAATCATACCCTGATAAAGTGTGCATTTTATTCTTTGTGTACACAACTTCAGGATGTATAACCCATTCACTTTCATAATTGAATATTAAATCAACTAAGACCATCTCCAATAATCTAGTAAATATAGAAAATAAGAATAGTTAGCAAACAGTAAAAGAATCAATATAAGCTGAAAGTAAAAAAAGAGGAATAAATATAGGCAGAAAATGACATGTGAGACAGAGGGTCCCATGAAAAAAGAAATACAACATGTACAAAAGAATCCACAAAAAGTTCAGTTTATGGGCCACCCCTTCATAAAAAATTGACAAAGAGAGCAAATATGCACTAAAATCCAATCACCTGAATAGTTTAATGAAGCAGTTGCATTCAAGGGTCCTACATTTAGGACCACCTTAGCTAGTAAACAAAGAAAAAGCACTAAATTTCAGTCAAAATCACAAAAAACTAAGGCATTTTTTCCCAGTAAGACAAAAAACAAATCATAATCCACTTAAGAAACCACCTTTGAGAAAAAATCCTAAACCAGAAGACAATAAATTCACCTTGATATATACCCATACGAATTTATTAGCATAACTAAAGCATGCAACCACTAAAAATCGGGACAACCTCAAAACTGAAACAAAAATACTAAAAATAAGAATAATATAGCAAGCAATCAGCAAAATTGATCAACAAATACTAAAATCAAGCAATTTAATGAAGAAAAGACTGACCTTTACACCAAGATCATATGAAATCGGCAGTTTGGAGTTACCACTACCGCCAGTCTCTTAGAGCTTCGAGAGAGTGAAAAGAAAAAGGAAAAATTGACCAAATGGTCTGTGACAGTCCATATTTTAGAGAAAGGTTGGATCGGGTTGGGTAATGGGTTGGGTCGGATCTATACTAAATCTAACCGGATGATTTTGGTGTTGCCACGTGGCCCATCTGTTAAAATAAGGATATTTGTGTTTAATAGTATAACGTTAGGGGCTTGGTTGCTCTAATAGTATAACGGGGGGCTTATTTAAACTATTGATGATAGTAGAGGGGCATATCAGATCCTTTACCGTATTTTAAAAGATACATGTGGGTTTATTTAATATAAATAATACACGTGACGGATTAAAAAAATGGCACATGACGAAGTTAAAGTCAAAAAATTGATCAGGTTAGTTCTGTTATATATAGGGGTAAGTTTGAGCCCAAAAACAAACGTTAGGGGCATTTGCGGACCAAAAGGTTAACATGAGGTATTTCTTAGTTATTTTCAATACGTTATGGGTATTGTTGGCCCTTTTGTTAGATATAGGGGTAAGTTTGAGCCCAAAAACAAACGTTAGGGGCATTTGCGGACCAAAAGGTTAACATGAGGTATTTCTTAGTTATTTTCAATACGTTATGGGTATTGTTGGCCCTTTTGTTAGATATAGGGGTAAGTTTGAGCCCAAAAACTAGCGTTAAGTGCATTTATAGCCCAATAGGTGGAAGGAGGAAAAAATTGAGCCATTTTTAATACCTTAGGGGCATTTTTGGTCCTTTTCCGTATTTTAAATGTATCTAATAATTATTGTATATTAATTTAAGATCGTTATTAAAATTCATTAAATTTAAGTTCTGGATCCGCCTTTGTTACGAAGATGATATAATAAATAATTTAAAGGTCAATAAGTCTACCTTCATGAAATCAACCGTGAAAGAAGAGTCGTTGCATAATATGTTGACGTGAGAAAGGAGATGGAAAACCAGAACGGCGTCTTCAACGGGCCAATAAAGTGTAATTCATTTAATTAATTTCCTCCTACTTTCCGAGAATTACTAGGATTTGTTCTCAAATGTTATGATATAGAGAGGCCTGTTAGTGATGTCAAAACTCAAAGGGACATGTAATTTTTGAACATTTATATTCATTTTAGTGGATGTAGCCGGAGGCGGACGCACACTATAGATTTGACGTGTGTACATGGATCGGGTTGGTTTGATTTTTATCAAAACCAAACCAAATCAACTATATCGATTTGGATTGGTTCGGTTTTATCGAATTTTTCGGATTTTTTGTTACTTAAATATTATTTCAATCTTACTTTGTTAAATTTTTTATAAGTAAATATATATTTAGTAAAAATATAAAAAATTGACAAACATATTATCTATTAATTAAAATATTCTTATGGGAGAATTTTCTTAGTAACACATAGTAATAGTTATTTTTTTAGTCGTTTGACAATGATTTTTCGTTGATGTACACTTTTAAAGTTAACTAAATTAGTAATTAAACATAAAAATCAATATGATACCTAAATAATAATAATCACTTCATATTCGAAAAATATAAAAAAAAATTAATAGATCTTAACATATGATATGAATATGGAAGAACAAAGAGATTGACGCATTTTAGTAACAATTGATGAGAAATTGATCATATAACCCATTATTTAAGGTTACTAAATATGGAGCACTTCATATTCTATTAAGTATTATATCCTGCAAGAGAATCCCAAATATTTCTAGATATTTTTTAAAGGAAATTCTATGTAAAATCTTAAAAGTATATATAAAAACCATATATTTATATGTAGGATGTAGGTTTGGTTTGTGGTTTTTTTGCTCAATACCAAACCAAATCTAGTCGGGTTTTTAAATCGGTTTGGTTTGATTTTTCAGTTTGGTGCGGTTTTCTAGTTCGGTTCTGAAAACTTTGGTAAAACCTCTATGTATACTTGCAAATGTCTTCAAAAAATAATCAGATATTAGCATAGATCCCCATATTAATCTTTATGAGTAAATAAATTTATATTGAATGTCATGGCGCCTTGTGACCAATGAATCCTGGGTCCGCCTCTGAATATAGCCAAGATTCATATATATATATATATATATATATATATATATATATATATATATATATATATAATTAATAAAACGCAATATAAACTCAATTGATGCATAGGCTTTACTAGTCCCAATTTGTAGTTAATTATCCTTTTTTTTTTAATAAGAAGATGAAGATAAAGACGAATGTCATTTCCAACTTGAAATTAAGGCCCTACATTTCTAGCACAATAGTAACGTTTAACTAATTCAACTCTCTGAGAGTGTTCAGAGGGTTAACAAAGTAGAGTGCTTAAAGGACTAAATAAACCAATGAAAGAATATTCCTTTTTAAATATTTTTCTCTTTCAATATTTTCCTTCCTTGTTTTCATAATTTTCTAAAATATCATCAACTCTAGTTACCCAAAAAAACTCCTAAATTTCCAAGGCTTTTTCTAGATTAGCAATATTCTTTGCCGCATATTGTGACCTGTTCGCGCATATTTTTCTTCGTTGTTTACAGCTTCATTATAATTTTAATGTAACTCCAGTGTGTTTTATAAGTAACTAGTACTTAGTAATTTTGAAATGACGATGTAAATATCAGGTTTGGATAAGATTTTTCCGATCCCTCTATAAGGTGCGCCAAGAAAACGAACATTGTCTTCCAAATTAATTTGCTATTTTGCAAGATAAACATATTCGTTTTTAAAACAAAATCAAATCGATTTTGAAAACCAGTATTAATATATTATGGTTTGATAACAAAAATCTATATATATATNAAGTCACGTCCTTTTTCTCATTCTCATTAAGAAACCAATTATGACACCCTTAAAAATCCAAACGAGTGTTATTCAATGAAAGTTGAACTTGCCCGTTTGCTTACAAAATTACAAATAATTGTTTTCTTAACCTTTTGCTTTTATCTCTTCACTAACGTCTCTTAATATGTTTGAAAGTCCAAACGTCTTTATTCAATGAAAGTTAAACTTGCCTATTTCACACCCTTCTGCTTCATTACGCAAGGCTTGTTTTGGCACTATAGTCAAATATTGTTGAATGTTTGTGGAATATATTAACAAAATTATTATTTTATGCAGGATTGTCGTTGATTTAATATATTCTGATTTTTGATATATTAAGTTTTCCACGGGTGAAAATATCCCCAATTTTTCCTTCTTTGCAGGTACGGCACAAAATGGTTTGCGAAAAATTCCATACAAAATTATACCAGGGAGTCTATTAGTTGCTTTTGGGTTACTTGATTAGAATGTTTATTTTCAAATGCATACTGTAATTTAGGGCGATCATCCCAAACCTTGATGAGTTTTGTAGGCTCTTTATGATGGCGCTTGCATACTTATTTGTACTAATTAATATTTTTGGGAAATTTATTTCTTTAAATCATTTATAGTTGATAAAATCTCTTTTACATTATTTTTCCGCAGCATCATGAAATGTAGCAAAAATTTTCTTTTGTAAAATTCTATCTGAGAAGATAAGGGTGGTGGCCAGTTGGAGACTGGAGAAGAGTGCAAAGTAATTATATTAATCTTCTCAACTCTGAGGATTGAAGCAAATGATAAGATGAAAACAAGATATATAGTACGTAGAATCGTTGAGAGGAAGGCACTACAGGCAATAACATAGATAGTACGTAGTCATGTGCTGTTGGTATGATGTTTTCTTCTTCCTTCATTCGTTTTCTTTCTCTTGGATGATTCTAAATCGCATTATATGTCATTCAACCTTCTTTTTCATGGAAAACTTGGTTA